TAAGCGTCGAGTATGGCGATCCAGTGACCCCCGCGGGTCTGCGTACACACGTTATATTATACTTAGGCGTTTGACAACAATAACCGCGACCGACGGAGACAACGCACAATAATTGTATACAATAATTATTATCCTTCGATGTCGCGCCCCGGACAGGTTTGTGTGTATCGATACACAATATACAATATACACCGCGCCGTATTGATGTACGCGCACCGAATTGATATCGTTTCGTGACCAAGGTGTCGCATTTGCATGTCCTCTATCTACACGGCTGTTATTATCTTGGATTCTTAAAGAACGGAGGAATGCGTGTTGATTTTATAATGCAATGACGAGTAATTTTTTTTTTTTTTTCTGTTCTACAGACGTTTTTTCGGATGGGAAATCTGCACGAAAAATTCCATACTTTTTAGATATGAAACTGTGCACGGACGATGTGTTATATGGTAGTGTTTAAAATGGAAGATGGAGATGTACATGTTCGATTTACTTAACGTGGTGTTAAAAATCCAGAACATCGGTCAATATTTTTTTTTTTAATACGCCATGACTGATTCCATTGGTGTTCTATATACCTATACTAAGTTCCCATCATATTTTGAATAGGTACAACGATCAAGAAATTATTAAAATTTCTTTCGAGTTTCTACAAATTCATATAACTTTACATTATAGGTGATGATTGCCTTCGCAGAAATTCGGTATCAGTGCCTTACGGCTATTCTCTTTTTTTTTTTTAAAAGTTCATAGTAATAAAATATTTTCACAGACAATAATATTGTCTATGATATTTTACATATTACATATTATGTAGGCACGTGTAGTTATATAAATGTATATTTTTTTACTTCTATGAATGTCATCAGTAAATTATTAATTTATTTGTCTGTTTTTTTTTTCCGAAACCTTTAACGCGCACTACAAAACTTTCGAACGTGTTTATTAACGTTATTAGTGTTTTATAATGAAAATTGTTGATAGAGTTATTGTTACCTTTCGGTAACATTTTTATATGCTACTTGATGTTAAATTGCAGAGGAAACCATTATAATTATAATAACAGATACATTACGCGCAACGCTGTTGGCTATTTTTAAATAGCAAAAAGCATTTATATAAATATAAAAATTTTTGTAATTCGATGATTACGCACGCGCATATAATCAGCAGAACAGTAGGTATTTAATTGTTTCGTCCTATACAGTATACACTTTCACTGCAATATAAGAACTACTGTGTATAATATACAAGCGCATAAAAAACAATTCGTTAACGCGATGTATATGTTTCGTAATGGCCATGTATTTGAATAATAACAGATGCACGATAGCTAATTATATTAATAATTGACAACAGTGCAATTAATCACATCATTAAGCAGGTTTATGTAGTCGATCTTATCCTAAAATCCTACCCAATAAAAAAGTGGAATTTTATTTTTACAAATTAAATGTTACTATAAGCCGCTGTAAAGGATTATAAAAACCGGCCACCTATAAATATTGCATTAAAATATCCAGTATACACAAAAAACATTTTTTTGTGTATTAAACCGACAATTTTTATTTGTTTACATATTTCGTGTCTTGTACTACTTGGCTATTCATGATCAAGTCTTAATGAACCCGAACAAATACATTTTACGAGATGAAAATTAACACGCGCCAAAAAGTCGGTTAGAATAAGTGTTTTTTATTGTTGAAAATGGCCTTACATAAAATATACCTCATCAAAGGGATGAAAATGATTGTATAACGAATGAAAACTGTAGAAAACTGTTTGTTTGTATGCAAAATTATATTGAACTCATGATAATCTGAACGACTCCACTTAACAATATTTACCACTATTGTGATTCTACTTATGCATGAGACATTATTCGAGGAAAACGATAAAATCATAGCGATTAAACATGGATTTTATGATTGATAAAAATTATATCTCCAACAAATATTAATCAATGCCGTCAATTTTTTAACGAGTATAGATACATATAGTGCTAAGTATAATATAATAAAAAAATATTATTTTATTTACTTTTTTGACAATTCTTAGCTTTAAAAATAAAACTCTGAATTTGCTAATCTTTTAAATTAAAATTATTATAGACTACATATATGATAATGAAAGAATTTATAGTTCCACAAAGAACAGCCATTAAATAAAATATTAAATCATTCAAGCATTCCTAAAGATGATATTTTATAGTTTAAGTTTAAAACGTATAAAACCGTTGTTCTATCAAAATTTCAACATGAATGATTTTGATAAAAATATACTAATAAAGACTTATAATCAAACGTGAATAACTGATATAAAATATTAAATTTTTTTTAAAATTTTTCACCAATAAAAATCTTAATAAACTTGCAAATATTATTAGTTTTTAATACCTATTATTGTAAACATCTAAATTGCATAGTAACAATAAAATTAATATAATTTTATGAAATGTGATAATTAATATAATATTTTTTTTCATAAATATTTCAAAATCTAGTATATCTTCAAGGTAAGTTTAATTATATAACTTACAGTGCATAAATATTATGTTTGCGAAAGTATTTGTAATGATTTTTGATTGCAAAAATGGATATATGTGTGTAAAACAATTTTAACACAAAATTATAATATATTTTTTCTTTTATAAGTACCTGTCACTTAACTAATACTTACATTAATTTAATTGATATTAATTCAATATAATTATAATATCGTATTTTTGTGAATGTGATATAAATTATAATGTATAAATTATCATCATATAAGTCTGTTGATTTAAATACATTTTTTATCGTGCTTAAAAAATAACTTATATTAATTTTTTTTAATTATAAATAAGTATATTATAATATGTAATTATTATTTACTAGAATAAAAATTAATTTATTTCAATAACTATTCATTTATAAAATATTTATTAATTAGAATATTTTATACTTAAAAAAGATTATTATTGTCTTAACAATGATATTTTATACTGAAATTCATACTATATAGTGTGAATAACAAATAGGATTTATTCCTAACAGTTAATAAATGTCAGTCCATTAATATTACATAATGTATACTCAGCTAAATGTCCCTATATATGAATGTTTTTCATAATAAACTCGTTAATTTTAGACTGGAAAACGTATTTTTCCCTTAGTTATAGATAAACATGTATAAAATACCAATAGATTTATGATATTTGTGATTTCGCAATGTTTTAAGTCCATATAATTTTGTAAAATATAAATGAATTAATAGTAATAAGCTTTCAATACATTTTATGAGTTCACGCATTCTTGGCATATGTTTTAATTGTGATTAAAACAAAGTTTAAGATGGTAAGCCAAAGTTTAGTTGAAAAAATTCAGAATCTTAATTATTTTATTTATTATAATTTCTGGGGAATTAATTAAATTGTATTGTAAGAAAAACGTTAATGTAATACCTTTACTTATTATTTTTTTTAAATATTTTATATTAATTAATTAATTAATTTATTTAATTATTTTATTAGCACTGATGAAAAAATTAAAATTTTTTTCTCAGGATATGGAATATCATACACATAAAATCTTTAATTGAACATGTAAATAAAGAAATGTTTTTTTCAATACTAAATTGATATTAATCTCTGAGATTTTTAAATCACTATCCATGAATTACGAGAAAATGTATTTCAACAAATGTATTATGTAACAATCAAAAGCAATAAAGCAAAAATAAAAATGTACACATATTAAAATTTTATAGCACTTTATACAATTTTGAATTTGATTAGAGTTACTATGTTTTATAACTTATAGGCAAAAAAAAAAAAACAATTAAGCTAAAATTATTTTTTAGAATGAACTATTATGAAGTAGTCATGTCTAATGTATACAAAAATGATATAAGTATTAAACCATTATATTTTTAATCAAAATTAAATTAAATTTTGCACATAATATTTTTAATTTACACTCAAGGAACGTAGTTTGGATGAAATAGTTGGTACAATCTCACAAGATTAATTTATTTATTGTGTAGCATGTTTTTCACTCGGTATTATTTATAATTATAACACCTGGTACTTGTCTATAGACTATTACATGATTGTTATATAACATATTGACTACAGTGTTTTTGCCATTTAGTAAAAAGTCTAGGTATCTAACACAATTGATTTGTTCGTTATTAACTACCGAAAAACAATATTGTAACAATGACATAATTGTATAATAAGATTTTTCGACTTTGAATTAAACTGTTAAAAAAAAAAATAAAAATAATTTATGAAATAATAACCTCAGAAGCATTTAACAGACCATGAGTATTTATTTTATTAATGTTAACAGCGAATCATAAGACGGCAAGTATTGCTATTGTATTCATTAATTTCAACGTTCAAACAGTACATACGTATCATTAAGTTATAAAGCTTATTTTCACCTACACTCGAGCTCTTGTATTAAGCGTATTATTTGTCATTTTCAGCGCGGTTAGACAAATTGTCGAGAACCGAATACCTAAAGAAAAGATTTACGTACCAAGAAATTAATGTTTTTAGGACCTAGTCGGATTAGTCGCCACCTATAGCGGACGGATAGACAATTTTATCAGATATTTTTAGCGCACTCGTAACACGGTGTTGATGCTATACCAGTAGGTTCGTTACGGCTTATGGCTAATAAAACGTACTACATGGCAAGTCTACGATCAGTAGAATTAATTTTGTGTTGTTAGCTTTAAATATAATATTAAACCGACTTATCATCATAATGAAAGGGAAGAACATTATCTGTGTTTTTTGATAATAATTAATAAGGGCCAGCTCACTGTAGTGATATCAGAACTAACGACAAGAAATTGGTTCTACTGAACACAGGTTTTCCACGTATTATGTTGTACGTTTGCAGAACGGAGACAAAGCACACACGCGGGTGTCCTCCTAAGGACGAGAATCGTAAAATGCGTTCGCGCTCGTATTACAACTATGTACAGCATAAAATACAACAATATCATACCCGGAAAAAGTTGACGAGCAAAGATCGATCCGTCGCTAATAATCATTGAATGTCCCGTGGGACATCACGAACGTGGCGGCGTCGTCATATTTCCCGCAGAACCGATGGAAACGTGCTCTACGCGCACACGTGTACACGCGTGTTTAATACGATGTTTTATGCGCACCGGAGTTTATACGATTTTTCATCGATCGCCATTAGCACGTGCGAATAGATCGCCCGATGGCCTGCCACCCGGAGCAGAGAGGTATGGAAACGAGAAAATATTCGAAAAACATTCGTCCGGACACCACGGGCGTCGGAGGAGACTTTACGCGGTCGACTGCGGTCCGCGCGGCGCGACCCGGGCAGTTGTTGTCGTGATAAATAATAATATATATATATATATATATATACAGAGTGAGTATATTATGTTTTACTCTCTCGCGGCATGTGGCCCGCGTAAAAACTTACAAGGTCCACCCACGCGCGTAACACGACTGCGTGTAGGGCCGACGACGGCGGGGAGGGAAACGACAATTCATTTCCAATTGAACCGCTTTTTTTTTCTCTCTACTCTCCTCTTTCCGTTTCTCCACTCGTTTCGGGAGGTTCGACCATTTACGTAACACCACGCAGCCGTAGCACGGTCAGCGACCGCGGCCCGCGGACACTTCCGGGTAATATCGACCGCGCGGCGCCCGGGGCCCGAAATCAAGTACAACACTTGTTTATCGTGCGCATAGTTTACGGTTATACACACCACTACGTGGTCGGTCGGACGCGAATAGTAATTGTTGCGGTGACGGCGTGGGTTCACGATGGCGGTACGGAAATCCAATACCGGAACGGGGAAATACACGGACGGCACCCAGATATTGATAAATCCGAAAACGTTCCGAAACAATATTATTACTGCGGGGCTACGCGATATAACGCACACCGCAGAGGTTTACCGCAACGTTTCTCCAGCCGATTTCACGATACTAAGGGAGGTCGGTTACTCCTGCCCACTACCCGCAGTTAATACCAATGATACCACTCGATGCCGCTATGCGTTCGCTGTACAATTATTTTACGACGGATCGATGATGACGATGACATGAATGTGCGTCAATTTTCGTTCATTTTTTTTTTTTTTTTTTTTATCAACATTTAATCGGTCTATACGTATTTACAACACCAACAAGCCGTGGTGTTTTTATGCGTATTCGTTGAGCGACTATGTGAGCTGCACTTGCAGGCGAAACGTCTTCCAAGCTCCGGTACATTACACAAAAATAAACAACCGTGTTATGATGCTCCCGAACAATCCGACGAACCATACAAACCCAGAGAGTTTTGTTTTTTTTTTTTTTAATATATTAATATAAAACCGCTATAGTATTGGGTGGCTAATAGTAGGTAATTATCGGATCATAAATTCAAATGTTTTTCCTTATATTGTTTACTGGATTATTTTAGTTGATCCTTGTATTACGTGTGTAAATCTATAAGTTAATTTTAACAAATTATTGGTCGCTCTCTAACATTTATAAGCAATAAGGATGTAGAAATTATTTTGATTTATGTGTATTGATTGCAATTTGAAATTTTAATAGTTACAGTATTATAGTTTTAAATAAATGAGCTATTATTCACGACAACGTATGAGTGTAGTCAGTGATGAGTTGTAGTGTTTATAATCAATCAAAATAGATTATAAAACCTTCATAAAATGATTATTATGCAAACGGTAAAGTGTAAACACGGTAGTCTTATAGATATTTAATGATTCGGAAATGTTTAAATACATTAGTAATAAATTATATAACACTTAGTTACTTAACGAAACTTATACTTAGTCGTACTTTTTCAATTAAAAAATGTGTTAACTATCGTGGTCATTTATACGATTGTATGTGAAATTTAAGTTGACTACATAAATATGATGATATAAATTCACGAAATAGATAACTATTAATATGATATAGTTATAATACTTTAAATCTTAGATGTTTTGTCTTAAAAATGGTTTTTAACATATTGTTCAGATACGTGATAACTTAAAATATCTATTTTTTAAATAATTAAATGCAACATATAATTTAGATTTTATTTTTAAGATTTTATGTTTGAGGATTTAGTTTAGATACGTTTAATACTTGCAGTTTGTTACATAGTCTATCGAGCCTGAAGCTATTAAATGCTATTATCATAAGTAACTTTTAATTCAAAATAACTGTAAAATAACAAAACAACAGAGTTTAATTTAAAAAAATCAAATAATCTTATAACATCGGAATAGATTAATTTTCTTTACGTTATTAAAACGATTTAGTAATAATTAAGAAATGAAAAACTTAATTAAACACGAAATGCAATGCGTGTTGTTGCATGAAACTCTAGTAGCACTCCCGGCTTTACTATTATAAAAATTAAATGGAAACTAAAATCTATTTCTTTCCATCATTGTTATTAAAAAGTGAAAGACGTCATTATACTCATAGATACATAATTTACTCGAACAAGTAAATTATAAATTATATTTCTATTAGTTTTTGAAAGTATCATTAGTATAGCATATATATGTATATAACACATAAAATATAGAAATTTGTACGAGCGTTGTGAATAAGTCTGTTGCAACATGAGTATAAATACATAGGACATAGGTAAATTAATATTGCTAAAATAACTTCTGTATAATTCTATGAAATACAACGATTGGAAAATTGTAATAATAATGTATTTTATTATTAATTACCCGGTAAAATATTAATTACGATGATTTGTTTTAGCGGACAGTTTATATGAATTGCTTTTTACATCATTTTAATAATGGCGTGAAAAGAATGCAAAAAAAAAATACATAAAAATAAAGTAACCTCTACCAGTATTCTTATGTATAATATGTATGCGTGTAATAACATATCGGTAACCAGTTTTCCGTGTACGCTACATTAATGCATAACTACACAACTGCTTCGTGTCAGGTTAGGTTAGTCAGCGGTACAAGACACAATATATGTAACCAACCATGTACCATATACCTAAATACCTACCATCTTTGTATCAGATTCGGTTTCTAAAAATAAAAAATTTAAACATGAAACGATTATTATAAACTGGGGGAGAGTCCACGAGAACCACCTGCGAAAAAATTAAACATTTACAAGTCTCGACCATCACATGTTCCTCGAGTCCGTTTTGCTGTCCAGCGTCACTATAAAACTGGTATCGGCGACTAATTAGCTTATCACGTAACGATCCTGTAATAGCAATTTCGTCCAAACACACCATCTGTTGATGTTTTCTGAGTATATATATATGTACGAATACGCAAGACCACACGACACGATTTCTGTTTCTCGTCAGCAAAAGATGCTATATTATGTAATTTATTTGTCTTGTTTAATTAACTTAGCCATTCTATTGAACTATCAAATATACAAAGGTAATCTGCAAGTTGACAATAAATGCAACTTTAAAACAATTTGTAAGAGGACATAAATAGCAATCTATTATATTAAAGTGTTGTTTGATTCCATTTTTTTGGAAATATTATACAAGAATAAAATCTAATTAATAAAACTTATGTTTTTTTCTGAAGTACCATATTTTGAAAAACATTTTAATAAACAGTTTTCTATTAAGTATCGTTTCTAATTTCCCAACAAAATTGATTTATGATTGTTTTTAAATTTAAAATAATAATACAATACAAACATATGTTGAGTACAAACTAAACGAGACAAGTGCTTACTTATCCAGTCTAAGTATCCTTTCAGTATTCAGTTTTTCTATGTCCGCAAAACATAACTCGTAGACTTGTGTAAGTTGTGTTACAGAAACATTAACGTGTTATGTATTATTTAGTATAGCTAAGTTAGTAAGTGCATATGTAATTTAGATACATTCACGAATTTGGGACATTTAATTGATAAATGACATTTTTGGATAAAATTTTTTCTGAGGATTGTGGTTGTACTGTATACCGAGTTAGCATGCTTAAAAGTTAAAACGTTTGTAAATAAACGACATGCACAGTAACGTATAAATCGAAAAGTAAAGTGCCCTGCTAATTAATTCTGATATTAACATCTTCACATAGTTTAAATAATTATCTGCACAGCGGAAATATGTTTTCATAATTATTTATCAATGTCAAGTGAGATTATTATAGTAATATTAATAATTTATTTTTAAAATGATCGTTAGTGGTGAGTGATAGTTGAAGTGTAATGAACAAACAAATTTTATTCATACTGATACACTATGATTTAAAATGAAACAATTGATTTAACAATTTGAACAACAGTCAAAGAGTAGAGTTTCAAGTGTGTAGTTACTATTTAGAGCATTATTCCAACTTTGTACTAACACAAGTGCACGGTATCATGATTGCTCCTTAAACTTATGATAAATGTTCTTGTGTACACTTGAAAACTTTCAATTTGCTTTCTAGTTTTAAAAATATTTATTATTTGTCAGGATATTATAAAATACCTACTCGTATTTTAGAATTTTCCTCGTATATACCTTAAAATGATATTCATTGTCTCGCATTGTTGAATCGAGATGTAATAATTTTTTATGTTTATAATATTCTACTGTTTAAATAAATGATCAGTATTTTAAAAAAAAAAAAAAACAAAATATTTTTAAAATTATTAATATTACACTTAACATTTTATTATCAATGCACTACATATTATGTATGTGTTATTATATAATAATAATAATAATAATATATTTTTTATTTATTATATATGATCGATCTAGATATTTTTAGTATGATTCGATAGTTCAACTGAATTCATATATCTTTATATCAATAAAAAAAATTGTTTATAGTAAAAGTTTTAACATTTGCTTATACATAAATAATGATTAAATTTAAATAATACACTTTATATTAATTAAGTACATACAAATTGAAAAGTTACAAAAATTTATCGCTAATTTTAACATTATAATCAGATTAACTTTAGACTTTATATTATACTCAAAACTGTTTTATTCGATTTAAAACTTCATGGTTATATGTATATGCGATCACGTTTGTTAATTAAAAGTTAAAAGCGTCAAAAGCATAAAATGTGTTTAATTGCAAAAGTTTTATTCACCGAACAGAATTATGTTGGCTGCTGCAGAGTTCAATAAATAAGTTATACGAAAAAAGTTTTTATTACGTATAATTTTATAAATAACTGCGATTGAAAAAGTGTTTTTTTTTCTTGCTGCTCTCGATCAATACAAAATATATGATGTTTTCAACTGCAGTAATGTAGTAGTAGTAATAGTAGTAGTAGTAGTAGTAATAGTAGTAGTAGTAGTAGTAGTAGTAGTA